AAGTGCCTATAACTTTTGCACAGTACTGAACATTTCTAGTGACATTGGTGACCTGGACAATAAGGGCTCATTCACACAAGGTGCTATGTCTGGCATTTTTTTGCACTGGATAAAATACAGGTGTCCCATTCACACTGCAATACAGCCAAATTTTTCAGGTGGAAAATTCCACTTCAGGAGTGAAGGTTCACTTTAATGCTAGTTGTGTAAAGGTATCACATTAATTTAGAGTGATACTAAAGGCTTAGATTTAAAAAAAAATAAACCTGTTATATTTACCTGCTGTGTGCAGTGGTTCTTCACACAGTAGTCCAGATCCTCCTCTTCTCTGGTCCCCCACCGGCACTCCTGGCCCCTCCCTCCTGTCGGGTGCCCCTATAGCAAGCAGCTTGCTATGGGGGCACCTGAGCAGGCACGGTCCTAAGCAGCTGCTCCGTGTGTCCATTCACGCACAGAGCCACGGCTCGGCCCCATCCCCTGTTTCTTCTCAATGGCTTACTGGCTGTGATTGACAGCAACGAGAGCAAATGGCTTCCCCTGCTGCTCAGTCAATGAGAGGAAGTCCCGGGATAGCTGAGACTCCAGTGCACATCACTGGATTGTGAGTAGGCTTAGGTGAATATTGGGGGGCTTATGATGGGGTGCTGCACAAAGAAGTTTTTTTACCTTCATGCATAGAATGCATGAAGGTAATAAACCTTGAGCCTTTATGACCACTTTAAGAGGGCTGCCTAATGCACAATAAGTTTTGTGTACTTTTTTTTTTTTTTTCTGTATTACATTGCACATTCGTGTATTACTATGTGTTCTAGTGCGCTGTGGCGTACATCCATTGGCAAAGTTTATTTGGGTAAGAACAATTATGTGTGTGACTGCGTTCTAGATATCAAGTGTTAAAATGCCTAAAACAAGAAAATTGTTTAAATAACACTGTGTGTGAAGATGTGTATACAAAATATCCACTTTCAAAACCTTTTTACTTTTGAAAGTGAATGTTTTGTATACACATTGTCACACAGTGTTGTTTTTACACAATTCTCTTGTTTTAGGCATTTTAACACTTGATACCTAGAGTGTGGTCACACACATAATTGTTCTTGCAAACTCCACAGTGAATGTAGTGACTGCAGCTGAAGCATATATTTTATTAAATTGTTTGGTGCAGAGTCATCACTTTTATAAAGTTTGTTTGGGTGCCATTAAGAATGCAATTGCAGCACACCATCACGTAAAATGCACATATTACCACAGCACTACAGTATGAACCCAGTCATAAAGTATCTAATGCCTGTTTTTACTAGGTGATGAGATCGGAAAATCTGAGGCCTCATGCACAAGTGTATTTACAGCTTCCAAACGGCCCTTCATATTATCCTATGTGTCCATGCACACAGACTTTTAGAAGCTTTTAGTGGCAGGGGCTTTTAGGAACTGTAATAAAAACCCACTGCCAGTTCGTCCAGGAGCAGCAGTGTTTTTGGCAGAAAAAAAAAAACGCTTGACACGTCTAAATGCGTATTAGCGCTTGAGCAATCACTCATTTAAATGGCCAGAATAAATTATTATTCTGGTCAATTAAATGAATTAACGCCCAAGTGCTGGATGTCTGTAAATGTGCCTAAACACTTGGAAAAGCATTAGACGCTTTTACAAGCGTCAGGCATTTTTTTTTGCCAAAACGCTGCTGCCAAGAGGAGGATTGTTTTTAAAATGTCCTGTGTGCATGAGACCTGATACTTGTTTACAGAATGTTTGCTCCTGGTCAGTGACTGTAAAGTATGTGAAGCCATACATAGGCAGGCGAGTAGCATTTTCAGAGTAAAAGCAGCAATGGTCCGAGGACTCCCTACTTGAGAGGTCCGTTACTAAAAAATGCTGACATGGTTGTGTGGGAAGATGGGTAGTGCATCACATGCTCTTCTATACTTTGAAGTTCCAGGTATGTACCTTTTATGTCTACAGGTGAATGGAGTGTTGAGAAAGCATTGGGAAGGTTAGTATAAGCTACAGGGGCCGGAGTTGAAGTCTACCTGTTGCTTTGCTCTGCATGACTAAAACAGCCCAAATCCCAGAAAAACTTTTTTTTTTCAGGCCTCATTTTTGTGTGTATGGGAAGCCCATGTGCCGTGTACAACTGCCCATAGACATGAATGGCTGTATGTGGGTATAAGCCGGTACTCATGTATGCTCACAAATACTGTATGGAGGAATTATGTACAAGTACTGGCTTATACATGCGCACAGCCATTCAAGTGTTTGGGCAGCTGTATGCAGAACCTGGGCTTCCTGGGTGTGGAAAAAAGGCAGAATTTTACATAGTAAATCCTCTTGTGGGCAGTTTAACTTCTATATTGAATGCCTAGTGCAGAACACAATAGTAACATAGGGTTCACAAACAGACTGACAGTGTACAGAAGGGGATTAGACATCTGACCCTCCTGGAATAGTGTTGGATACAAATATTTTTCTGCCTTTTTCGCTTGAAAGGAAGTTGGGTGAAAACTCTGCAATAGGTACACTAGCTGCCATTAAAAAAAAAAAAAAAAAAAAAAAAAAAAGAGGATAGACAGACGGATAGCACCTTAACCCCCCCAATCAAAAACTTTTTTTTTAGGGGGGCAGAAGGTGGGCTTCAATAAAGCAGATTGCAGGTGTTTCAGTTCCTGCACACTTAGGCTTCAGAGTCTCTCCACTACCTCTGTACAGTCTTCTGAGCTGGAAGGAGTGTAAATGGACTACAAGCCTGCTGATCAGCACAGTCCCAGCCCATTCAAACTGCATGTCCATCTGCCACACTGGTGCCCCACACAGCTGCGCCATTTTCAAAATATGACAGTGGGTGCAGGGAGAGCATCTCCTGTCTACTGTCACGGGGAAGGAGGGTGGTTGTTGAACATGTTACACAGGTGTAACATGTTTAGAAAGGTGAACTTATCTTTTAAGTATTAGTATGATAATACTGAGACCCAGATAGGCAGCAGCTTGGGCAACAAATAGTTATTGCTAGAAATGTATTTTCAGTACAGTTTAAAAGGCCTTTCCAAGTAAGAAAAGCAATGTAGCTCCTTTTTATAGTGGGGAACATTTATCAGTTCTGTAGCAAAGCAACGCTAAACAGGGGCAAAGTAACCAGCCTTTGTCAGAATCTGATACTGTCAAATGTATTTTTTCTCTTCTGGTTTTGGGCTATGTGTAAAAGAAAAGAAACACTGTTGCATGTAACTTAATACTTTGTAATAGTAAGCAGTCTATTCCCAAGAGTTTAGGTCAGGGCTGTAGCTGGCATGCAGTGCAGTGTCTCTGGCTGTAATGAATGAATGGTGGAGAAAGATAATGACTGATGTAAAAATTAGTAAACCGTACATTCAGGCATTTGAGAAGGTTATGTGAAGCGGTCTTCTCCAGAGGTGAAACTGGCACATTTACTTCTGTGACTAGGCAGATCTAGTGGTCCAGGTGCCCACAATGCTATTGCTACAAGATCCACATTTTCTACACTCGGGTTTATTCACTAAAGCTGGAGAGTGCAAAATCAGGCTTGTTTCTGCATAGATCCCCAATTTATAATCTGAGTTCGTTCAGTTAAGCTTTGGCAATAAACCCTGGAAGCTGATTGGCTTCTATGCAGAAGTGAGCCTCATTTTGCACTCTCCAGCTTTAGTAAACCCCTATGAATACCTGGTACGCAAGACGTTTGCATTGCAGGCATTTGTCCTTGGGTACATACTGCCCCAATGTTAGTAACACTAGGTGCACTGTCCATCTCATAAGAGTTTGACAGGTTGTCATTAGCTGGGCTGACCTGAGCACTTGTGCCCTCTGCCAGCGACTAAATGCCAGAGCCCCATGCACCAAACTAAATGCCCGGTTTGAATGGAGCCTTAGGTGAACCTGTGTCTTTGTCCATGCAGGGCAAAGCAACAAGTTCACTATAATATGCTTTTTTTTATAGTTGGCTTCAGTTTACAGTAGCAATGTGGCATGTACACAGGGTTGAGAAGCCTCCCTCACTCCCATGTGATAGCTTTGGGTGTCTGTAGAGACAGTGGCCAAGCACCAGACCTGTCGCACAAGAGGAATGGAGGTGAGTCACATGATCCATACCTGGAAGTACTTGATTAGTTGCTTTGCTCTGTGAATAGAGCTTTAATAATAAAGAAAAAGTAAGTATAAGCTGCTGTGGGGTCAGGCATTAAACAGATTCTGTTTTGCCTTGTATAGGCAAAGGAGCCCAATTCCTGCAAAGCATGTTAACGTTCTGAAAAGTTCTAATGTTAAAAAGGGTTGGTGTTGTTTCTGTCCCAGTTGGAGAGATTTTTCATCACTTCCATCCAATCAGCTTGAGTTCGACTTTTTCCCCAGCCATTCCATTCATCTGCTGGGAGTAAAGAAGATGTGTAGTACTTTTGGATATGAACAAGCGTTTGACTCCTTCCATGTGACCGCACTGGTGCTTGCTAACTAGCCCAATACTGTCAGTCAGGCTTGCGTAAGCTTCAACTGGAGATTGGACTTACACGTAGCTTAGACAGAACTGGCTTCTCACTCCCTGTGGCTAACTGAAGGTGGATGTAGAGCAAATGAAGGTGAGCATATGCAGTTGGGGAAAGAACATTGGTAATGCACAGGTCCATTTTAAAGGTATGCTATGCAAAGACTTTCTGCATCCGGCACATTATCAGCTGTGTCAAATTCCTAGTCCTTCACTATGTGCAGTGGCTCCATTCACCCTCCCATACACCACTACTATGTCCTGTAATGACATAGGAGTCAGCAAATGGAACCAGAGTAAGCAAGGGGGTCCAGGCATTAAAAATATTTGGAAGTGGTTTTGCAAGTGAGATCTTTAAATACAGATGCTCATCTCAAGAAAACACAAGAGTTCTCACGTTTTGGATAAATATGGGATTTCACATTTCCCTTTTTAAAATAAAATATGTTTGCTGAGAAACGCTGCAATGTAACCCCACTGTGTTGGATTCTGTTTGCAGGGTGCTATCATGGAGTTGGAGATGTCAGACCGTTATGACCATGTTTTGCTGGGTATCCTGCAGCATGTGGGGAACATCCAGGAATTTTTAAATGTTTACTTTGGGTTCTTGTACCGCAAGACAGACTTTTACCGGCAGTTAGTGAGCCCTCAAGAGCGGATGGTCCCCCCGGGTGTTGCCCAGAACATGGTGCTGCAGGTGAGTATTTGGCTTTTACAGTGTGCAGTACCATGTACACAGTGCTGGTGCTGGAGGTGAATCACACTTCTCCTCTCTCAGACATTCAAAAACTACGAGCGACTGGCCATGAAGGACCATGAGCAGAGGGTGCGGGACTTGGAGGAGAAAATGAAGAAGCAGGAGGAGAAGTTGGCCGAGAGTGGTGAGGCACCTATGGCGACAGAGGAAGTTGTCTTAGAGACACCGGCAGATGAGTCACCTGGAGAGCAGGAGAAGCCAGAGAATCCGCCAGAAAATTCAGATACAACAGAAAAAGCTGCAGAGGTGGATGCTAGCACCAGCAATATGGACAGCTCAGCTTCTGCATCCGGGTAAATTGGTCAACAAATTATATGAAGTATCATTTTCCTATGACCTTTTGTATATCTTGTATATGCTATATAATTTTTTTTAAGTTGCTATTATTTTTCCATGAAAGTGGAATTACCTTTTAAACTTCTAATGTTTAGCTTTAGTGGCCTGAATTCACATCTTTAATAACCTGTGATGTTGCCGCCATGCAGCCCAAATCCTTACTATGGCTGGATGCCAGTGAGGCACCGCCTGACACATCCGATGCATGTAAAAGCTGCCAATTGTTTTATTTTTAGGTTTGATTAAAGAGACTATTTCTCAGTCTCCCGAATCCTCCTGTCACAGCAGAATGTTGGGCTGTTCTGAGATGCAAAATAAAATAGTGTCAGAGCCCACTAAAAACTTTTTCCCCTCCAACACAAATCCACATCTATGCCCCATGACTATGGTGGGCAGCTGCACAGATAAATAGAAAGGTGCAGAAAAAAGGAAGAGGAAGTTTTGTCTGTCAAAGTGGCCCAGCATTCTGCTGTGACAAGAGGGTTTGGGACACTATTGGTGCCTGCGCTTTATAACTGTAACATGTGTTTTTTTTTTTTTCCCCTTTGGACAGAGTATCTTTAAAGTAAAAGCAAAATGCAGGCTGCCGGAAAAGCTGTTGCCATAATTTTGCACGCTATAGCAATCTTGCCTTCTAGACTGTTGTTTTTCAGAGCCACCAGAGTCCTAAATCTCTGGCTATTGGGCGTCCACTCATGATGCAAATCCGCAAGCAATGTACACTTAAAAAAAAATGTTAGGATATTTTTGTGATGTTAGAAAAAATCCACCCTTGCAGTGGGTCTCTCTCCCACCCCCACCGCAAGGGTTACCTGCTTGTTTAGTCTAGGAGCAAAGAATTAAAAGAGAAGTATGGACTTTTTTTTTTATTTTAAATCATACTTACCTAGGTGGATGCAGCATCGATGCTGCATATGTCCCATCCGGCTCTAAGGGTTAGAACTCAGGGCTGTCTGCTCTGCCCCAGTGCTGGGCTGTGGAAGGGGCTAACCCTACTCCTTGTTCCAGCAGATTTCCTCCAGTGCTAGTCAACCACTATTCTGTAAGCTGTGACCAACTTCAGTTAATGTCCCTGTGTTGTACATGATCATGCCAAGGCTCTGCCCATAGACTAGAGCTTCAGGTAGAGGAGGAGAGCGTTGAAACAAGAACCCTTGCAGTGTGGGGGGGCCCCACTGCAAGGGTGGAATTGCACCCAAATGAAATTTATGTCCTTTTTTTACCCCACAAATTGAGCTTTCTTTTGGTGGTATCTGATCGCCTGTGCATTTTTTTATATTTTGCACTATAAGGCAAAAAAAAACGAACAATTTTGAGAAAAACAATATTTTGGACTTTTTGCTGTTAAATATGTCCAGTAAAAAAATGTAAATCTAATTTCGTCAATTTACAAATGACTGTATAGATAATGGGATTTTTTTTTTTCTACTAGTAATGGCGGCGATCAGCGACTTTTAGTGGGACTGGGGCGGACATTCTGACACTGGAGGGAACTAACTCGGTGTCACTGACATCTCCAGTGACACCAATACAGTGATCAGTGCTAAAAAAAAGCACTGACACTGTGCTAATGAAACTGGGCAGGAAGGGGTTAATGTGAGGGGCGATCAAAAGGTTAACTGTGCGCTGGGGAGTGTTTTACTAGGGGGCAGGGAGATGGTCTTCACTGCAAGCACACTGATCGGGATGGCTGTACTGTGCACAGTCCCGTGTGCTCGAGCTGACAGGGAGGAAGATTGTTTGTAAACAAAACAATCTTCCTCCCCGTTTGGAGATGCTTGGTAATCACTGGGCGCTGGCGGGTAATTACTAGCCAGGACTCGGTGATTGACATCTGCAGCCTACCGGAAATGCAAAATCACGTGTATATATACATGATTTTGCACACAGGTGCTGCCCTGTAGCAGTATATCTGCTATAGGGCGTTCCTTAAGTTGTTAATAAACACATCATACTTACCTGCACTTACCAATGCACAGAGCAGCTCCGATCCTTTTCTTCTCAGGTCCTCTTGGCTCTTCCCCCTTGACCACTGCCCCCAATAGCAAGCAGCTTGCTATGGGGGCACTGGTGCATGCTCACCTCTGAGCCGCTCTGTCCGAAGACACATAGCGAAGACACACAGCTCTGTCCCACCCCCTTGCTCATTGGCTCACTGGTTTTAATCAACAGCAATGGAAGCCAATGGCTCCCGCTGCTGTGTCTCAGCCAGTGAGGAGAGAGAGACCAGGACAGCCGAGGCTCCCGTGCACATCGCTGGATTGAGAGGGGGCTCAGGTAAGTATTATGGGGCACTGAGGGGGGAGCAGCACACAGAACGTTTTTTACCTTCATGCATAGAATGCATGAAGGTAAAATACATTCAGACTTTACAACCACTTTAACCTTAATGTGAAGTGACTCTTGTGCTGGTGCTGCTTGTCATAGTGGAACTCTTTAGTCTTCTGCCCCCACTGATCTATGAATGGAGGAGGTGGACCTTTCATTCATCCACCTTCCTCCATTTTTATTCATGGAAGCTATAGCACAGGTTCTATGTATGGAGGAGGGGGGCAGATGGGGGGGGGGGGGGGGGGCATAGTTGCATGATGAGTGCCTATGACAGGTCCCTCGGCTGTATTTACCTCCAAAACACTGGAAGACAACTGCTGTGGAGGTGGGCAAAGGACTGAAGATTTCCACTCTGACTGCTGAGAAACAGCACAATAGACACTTTGCATTAAATGTAGGTAATGTCCAGTGTGCTCTTTTGAGTTTTTTTTATTTTATTTTTTTTAAACATTTTTACTGACTTAGGCTTTAAGGGATAAGTTCACCTTTTTGGACAAAAATAATACATGCACATTTTTTTGCAGATAAAAAAAGTGTTTTTTTATTATTTTTTGTCCAAAGGAGCCTAGAAAGCCTTGCACCAGTGATCAGTATATCACTGATGCCATGCAGGTCTCCTGCAGACCTGTCATAATATCTGCTTGCCGTACGGGGTGCCGTATGAGATGCAAGCAGATATTCTGACAGGAAGCTTCAATGAAATACCGCGGCACTCCACAGCGCTGTGGTAGTTCATTGAAATCTACAAGCCCACAGCCACTAAAGCTGTCGGGACTTGCAGTTCATTCATTCATGGAAGTCCGTTAATGAATGACATGGTCGTGTGGGCGGAGCCCTGCATGGCTGCACTGTTTTCAAATTTGACAGATAGTATGGGGAAAAATCTCCCCATACTATCTGTCAGAAGGAGGGGAGGGCGGCTGCAGCTATGGGAACATGTTACATGTTCCACCCTAAAAACAGGTGGAACATGTAACAACATATTCCAGATGTGAACTTATCCTTTAAGCCTCTGCTGTGTACAGGAAAAAAAAATGATAATCTGCATTAGCTGCTATTACAGTGTGTCTGTTTTTTACTGACATTGAACAGACACACCTGTTTCTACAAGTCAACTGCTGTAAAACTGCTGTTTAAGAGGACCTTCATCATTATTTAAAGTGGAAATGCACTGCATCTGAGCATCACAAACCAAAAATGCAATTTAATTAATTTTTAATATTCAAAGCAAACTCCCCCATCCATCCATATCTCCATGCTTTATTTTGTTGAGAAATCACTTTGAAAAACACCCCCTAACATTTCTGGCATTGGCCATCTTGAGTAAGGGCAGATGATTTGTGTATCATTTACTTCCTGGAATCAATCTGCTCTTAGCTCAGGCATAGGCTTAGCTGAGAACCCTCCCTCCCCTACTGAAAACTGATGGGATGTGTTACATCATTTGCCTAGGCATGGAAACCAGAAAGTAACTGAAGAAATGTAAAAAAACAGGAAAGTATAGCATATTTACTTATCTGTTTACTAATGCTAGCAGCATAAAAGTTAAAATTAGTCGTAATTGGATGACTACCTGGCTTATTGGCCGTAGCCATAGCTTGTTTTTTGTTGTTAATGTATGTTTTCTGAAAAATTACTAATAAATAGAATTTTTCAAAAAAAGTTAAACTTAGTCAATGCTGATTGAGAGAGTGAAGTTTCACTTTAAGTACAATGTTTGACTATCTTCTTCTCATCTTTGTCTTATACAAAGGGTAAGTGGACTTTCATGCACCCAAATGCAGCCACTCCCTGCTTAGCTTGCTCTAGACTTAATTCCCAGGGCCAGGCAGTATTTACATGCTCTGAAATTAACACTTATGTCAGGGCTGACTATAGAGCATAATGGCTGTAGCTCAGTACATGCCAGGTTCAGACATTATTCTCTGCAGCTGTGCTTTAATGTATGTGTGTCGGGTCGCTGGAGTCTTGAGGGATGTAAATGCTTGCCCAGGTAAAATACGGGATGCAGTATTTTGCATGAAAGTGCACTTGCCCTTTAAATAAACTCTCCAGAATAATAATTTTGTAAATTATTTAAACTACGGGCTCTATTCATTCAGCAACTATATTTTCACTAATTACAAAGATCTAGCTATATCATTTTAAAATTGCAAGCATCCATTCTTTTTTGTCTGTTGATTTCACTGGATAAAAAAGTTACATTATTTGAACGCACATTGACCTCCTTAAATAGCATAATGAAAACAGACACATAAATTTATTAGAAACCGAGTGTAATTTAACGATCATTTATGGAAATTGGGAATCATGACAGATTAGATTATGAATTAAAATGTACTCAAAGGTTGGATATAACTATACAAGGAAATAAATTGTTTTAGGAAACTATACCCTGACATGAAGAGGAATTGTTTTAATTCTGACCACTATCGAGCTCTGGTGCAGAGTAAGTGTTACATGTACTCGGCATCCAGTAAGTTCATGTAAAGGCTAGCGGTTAGCAATTTTCAGAGAAAGATTTACTGTATTGATAAGGCAGGCCAGTTATGTGCAAGGCCAGGCGCAGTGAGTGACTATATTAGAAAGGTAAATGTTACATGGTCCCTGTGTGCCAAGTAGTGAA